TAGGTCTGTATCCTAAAAAGATCAAGAAAAAAGGAAAAGGGCCTGTATGTACAAAAACATTTATGGCAGCTCTCTTTGTGGTGGCAAAGGATTGGAAATTGAGGTGATGCCCCTCAATTGGGTAGTGGCTGAACAAGTTATGGTATATGATCATAATGGAATAGTATTGTGCTATAAGAAATGATGAGCAGGATGCTTTCAGAAAAACCTGGAAAGACATACATGAACTGATGCAAAGTGAAGTGAGCATAACCAGGAGAACACTGTACACAGTACCAACAGTATTTTATGATGATCCACTGTGAATGACTTAGCTATTTTCAGTAATACAATGATTCAAAACCATTCCAAAGGACTTAGGATGAAAACTGGCTATCCACCTCTTGAGAAAGAACTGACAGAATCTAAATGCAGATCAAAGCATACTTTTAAAAAAACTTTCCTTATTTTTCTTGTTGGGATTTTTTGGGTCTGTTTTCTTTCACATAACCAATATGCAAATATTTTACATTACTGCCCATGTATAAACCTATATCAAATTGCTTGCCTTCTTAATGAGGGGGGAGGGGAGGGAGAGAGGGAGAGAATTTGGAACTCGAAAGTTTAAAAAAATGGATGTTAAAATTATATTTACATGTAATTGGAAAAAATACTAAACAAAAAAGGATAAGAGCCTCTGAGTTAGATTACCCCTGAAGATTCCTCTTCCACCTTTAAATTCGGGGATCCTTTTGGTGGACTGGGAGGAGTAGTTAGTAGAAGGCTTATGATATTGGTCCCAGGCTTTGGTTTTTTCACTCACAGTGCCTTCATTGTAGACTATTAGTGGGGTGGGGGTTGGGAAGGGATTATGGTTTGTGCTACTTCGGACCCCAGGCAATTTACTGCCAGAAGAAGGTGGCAAGGAAAAAAAAAATCAGGTTCACAGAACCCCAGGTTAGGGGGAGCTGGGGACTTGTTTGCTAGGGCCAACCATAATTGACCTAACAGAGTCAATGTTTTCAATATGGAAGCTCAGTGCATCTGGCCTAATGGTGTATATAGGTAGCACTGGCCTTCAGTTGATGGGACATTAGGACCATGTACCTCCCCTGAACTGGACTTGCAGAGATGATTCTATGGGCCCACCTACAATTCCACTGCAGCAAAAGGTACCATATTGCAGGGTCAGCTGGAAGGACAAGATACAAAATGGGAGTCTGGGGGTGGGATAGAATTGGTCAGTGTCCTTCTTGTCCTGAGGAGTGTGATCTAAGGCATGAGGGAAAACAAACAAAACACCTCATAAACAACGTTTTGAAAATCCAGAGATCTACCCCAAAGAAAGTGTCAGACTTCAGAAAGAGAAGGTGCAACAGCCGTTGACTTATACTCCTTGGTAGAACTTTGGAAATAATAATAGCTAACATTTGTATGCTGGTTACTATGTGCCAGGCACCATGCTAAGTCTTTACAATTACAAAAGGATGGGCCAGATGATTTCTACTGTCCCTTCTAGCTTCATATCCTACATTCCTTTGATTCTCTGGAAGAAAAGTTATAGAGAATTGTGTAAGTATGCCCTTGGGCAGGCCCCAGAAGCCTTTCCATATGCAAAGCTATCTGCTTAGTAGGAGTCTGTGGCCCATCATAGCACAAAATGACAAGGAAGGAGAGCCCTTTGTAGGCCCTACCCCGCCTTCCCCAAGCAGAGAAGCAGATTTGGCCCTCTCTTTTCCCTGCCCCTCCAAAGTAAAAGTTGAAGATGATCTTTAAAGAGGTGATAGCTTCTATCTAGTGGGAGTGGTGGGGTGCTGTGGGTACAGGGAATAGATGTCTTTTCTTATTGGAAATAGGAGATAGCTCTGGGATGCTCCATGCAGGGACTTTGAAGAGCAGCTGGAGGGTGATCATGCTGGCATTTCTGACAGGGCTATTTAGGGGATGGATACTTAGGAAATGGAAGTGCTGCATCAGTGTTCAGATTGGCCCATAAGTGGTACAAGGGCAGAAAAGCCTGAGGCCAGGCAGTTTGGTGTAGTGGAAAAAGTATAGGACAGGCATACACTGGAGTCAGAGGACCTAGGTTTGATTCCTGGCTTTACTACTGAATAGAGTCAATAGGAATTTATTAAGTTATTATTATTATTTTTTTATTATCTACTACTGAGCAAGTCATTTAAAATCTCTTGAGTCTCAGCTTTCTTACATGGAAAATAAGGAGGTTTGACTATCAGGATTCTTAACATTGGTTCTTAACATTGTTTTAAAAAAATATTTTGACAACTGTATTTCAATATAGTTTCCTTTGTAATCTGATGCATTTTATTTTCTGCATGTACAAAACATTATTCTGAGGAGAGATCTGGAGGCTTCTGTAGGCTGCCACAGGGGTCCATGATACAAAAAAAGGATAAGAGCTTCTGAGCTAGATTACCCCTAAAAGATTCCTCTTCTACCTTTAAATTCTGTGATCCTTTTGGTGGACTGGGAGGAGCAGGTAGTAGAAGGTTTATGATATTGGTGTAGGCTTTGGTTTTTCACTCACAGTGTCTTCATTGTAGACTATTAGTGGGGTGGGAGTTGGGAAGGGATTATGGGTTGTGCTACTTCGGACCCCAGGAAATTTAATGCCAGAATACGGTAGCATCAAGAGCTTTGTCCCAAACCTAGTACTCTGCTCATCTGACTGTACTAGATGAATTCATTCCTCTTTCCCACCATCTTAAGAAAGAGCTATCTGATGGTAGTTTCTTTTAGATACACTTTAGATTTTCTTGTCCTTGAACATAAATTCAGAGTTTATATTTGTTTTTCCTTTATGAATCAACCTTATAGAACACACTTTTGTTTTCTGGGGAAAGAAAGGAAAGAGGAAAGGGTGAATGCTGGTGGCATCGAATTTTTGGTATGGTGGCAGGAAAAGGGAAGATGTTAATGGGAGGTTGAATGTGGCAGATCTCTGAGCCAAGAGAACAAAACAGGGTAAGGGATCAGGATTGGGGGCTTCAGGTCTTACAGCTTGGAGCTTTGGATCAGGCCAGGGAATTAAAGGTAGCTTGAATCCTATAAGAAGCAGCCTTGGCCAAGAGTGAGGCTTTCCTCCATCTGTTCTGAAGAGTTGAGTCCCTGAAATGCCAAGATGTTCACTTGGGTCCTTGGTCCAAGATAGTTCCTCAGATGTGGGGGCAGTAGTGGGGTAATAACAACAATGATGATAATCTCACATTACTTAATAATTTTATAAGAAACTCACATTTTAAAAGATTACAGAATACAAGTTGGAAGGATGGCCACAGCCTTTTAGCCCAAAGCAAACCAAGTCAAGAACTTCCAATTTATTATACAAGACAAGTGGTCATCCTGCTTTTGCTTGAAGACTTCCATTAAGGAAATACCCACTACCTTCTAAGGCAGCCCATTCCATTTTTAGATAGCTTTCATGGCCTAACTGGTCTTTCTGCCTACAGCTGATCCCTTTTCCAGTCCATTCTTCACATAGCTGCCTGGGTAATCTTCCTAATGTGCTGCTCTGATTATGCCTCTTTTACTTATCCCAGTTGCCTGGGCTTGAAACCTAAGTGTCATCCTTGATTTCTCATTTTCTCTCACTAAGGCCCCCTGATGCCTCCTCCTGCCATCTGGCTGCTCCCAAATCCTGTAGATTTTAATCTTTATGATGTCTCTTGCATGTGCTCCCTTCTCTCCTTTGACACTGCCACAACCCTGGTGCAATCCCTCCTCACCTCATGCCTCTACTATTGCTATAACCTGTTGGTTGGTCTCGCTGCCTCAAGTCTCTTCCCACTCCAATCCGTTCTTTACTCAGATGTCAGGGTGATATTCAGAAAGTGCAGGTCTGACCATGTCAGACCCCAAATACCTACCCAATAAACTTTAGTGACTACCTATCATCTCCAGGATCAAATATAAAATCCTCTGGCTTTTAAAGCTCTTTAAAATTTGCTCATTCTCTCCCCCTTTCCAGTCTTCTTATACCCTACACCCCCCCACATATTCTTTGATCCAGTGACACTGCTCTCCTCACTATTTCTTGAACAGGCCAACTCCATCTTCCTACTTCAAGCATTTTCACTGGCTGTCCCCTGGTCCTGGAATGTTCTCTCTCCTCATCTCTCACTCCTGGCTTTCCTGGCTTCCTTCAAGTCCAAGCTAAAATTCCTTCTTCTTCAAGAAGCATTTTCTGATCCTTACTTGTAGTCCCTTCCCTTTTTTGATTATTTCCAATTTATTCTGAATTTAGCTTATTTGTATATAATTATTTGCATGTAGTCTCCCTTATTAGTCTACGAGATGAGACAGTATTTTGCTTTTTTTTTTTTGTATCCCTAGTTCTTAGAACAGTGCATGGTAGATAGCAGTTACTTAATAAATTTTTTTTGACTTGTTGACTGACTTTAATGGCTGTCCATTTCAGGATAAGTAGATTATAAACTTTTGATTCTGATACTTTAGGCCCTTCATACTCTGCCTGTAACCTATAATTGTGTTCCAGTTTTATCTAATAATATTTTCTTTCACTCTTCTACCTTATAGGAAATCTGGTATTTTCCCACCTTGCCCTCTACTATCTTAGTGCCTTTTCTCATGCCTAAAGTGTACTCCTCTGGATCTATATTTATCTTTCTGTTAGATTTATCTAACTCTGAGACAGGGCCATTAAACTCTTCTATTTTATAAGGTTACTATCTATGTGTTTTTGTTATTCAGTTAGTTTTTCACTTATTAATTTAGATGGTATGCCATTTAGAGAACACAAGTTTACTACTGATAACTTGCATGATGTTTGTGGTTCCTTTAAGTATGTTATTTTCTTGTTTATCTTTGTTCATAATGTGAATTTTTCTTTTTCTTTTGCTTGATAGCATGATTGCAACTCCTTTTTTTAAGTCACCTGATACATAGGAAATTTTGTTTCAGTTTCTATGCATGACTTTGCTTTTTAGATGTATTATAAGCTTTTTAGCTGTATTTCTCACTCCACTCTGCATCTGCTGGGTTTCAACTCCAAAGAACCAGATGCCTTTCCTAAATGAAACTCATTACCTCTAATCTCATCACCAAGCTGTTAACTCAAGCCTTGACTGACACCACCTACCTCAGCCTCCTCTTTCTTCTGATTAGGGGACTAGACAGTGAGTACCAAACTCCTCCCAATACTTATTTTATACAGAACAAAAACTGGATTTTTGGGCTCACTGCACTCTGAATTTGCTGTTCTACCTGGTTGTAATTTAACAGAACAAGAGGCCCCTGACCCTGAATACCCTTTAATGTCTCCTCCAATTTTTCCTGCTTCCTTTTGTATATTCTCTCCCCCTACCCCCATTGGATTGTAAATTCCTTAAGGGCAGGGACCATCTTTCTTTTTATTGATTATATCCCTAGTGCCCAATAGCACAGTGCCTGGCACATGTTGTTGTTGTTCAGTCATGTCTGACTCTTTGTGGCCCTATGAACCATGTTATGTGTGAGGTTTTCTTGGCAAAAAATATGGGGAGTGGTTTGCCATTTCCTTCTCCAATTGATTAAGGCAAACAGAGGTTAAGTGACTTACCCAAGGTCACACAACTAGTGTCTGAAGCTGGATATGAACTCAAGTCTTCCTGACTCCAGGCCTAGCATTCATTCAATCCACTGAGCCATCTAGCTGCCTCTGGCACATAGAAGGCAATTAATGTTTATTGGTTTGGATTATTGGATTGGATAAGCAATAGATGGTGGGATTTTGTTTTCTTATACAGTTATTTTATTCAACTGTTTAATCCATTCACACTTAAAGTTATGAGAGTTAGGCTTATGTTTTCATTCATTTGTGTCTTAATTTTTCAAAATTAGGATTTTTGGTTCCCCTTTCTTTTTTAATTCAGTAATTTGTCCCTATGATTAAGTTTGCTTAGCATACTTTGATGTAACTCTATTCCCCTCTTTATCCCCTCCTTCCCCATTGTCAGCCTTTTCCCTAGTTCTGGAATTTTACTTAATTTATTGATTTCTTTTTCTTTCTTTCATTTATTTATCTGTTTCTAGCATCTGCATCTATAGATGTCCATTTCTTTTCCTTCAAGGGCCATCTCTATTGCTATCTCCTCCTTGAAGCCTTTCCCAATCTGTAACTGAAAGTTATCTCTCTCTCATCGGAATTCTCATGTTACATTGCCTGAGCTTTCCTGCCTTGCATTATGTATGTGTATGTATATGTATGTTTATATATACATATATACATACCCATATATACATATATTATATATTATTATTGGTATTTCTTCTGTTAGAAATTGTAAACTCATTGAGGTCAGTGTCCAATCCAATAGATTACACTAAGCATTTATTCTCTGTATTATATCTGTCTTTCATTTCCAGCTTCTAGCTAGTACATTGCTTTGAGTATAACCAGCACTTTTAAATATTTGTTGAGTTGAATGAATGATCCTCACACTGTGAAGTTGACTGAGAGAATTGAAACCTATGTTAAATGGGGAGATGGTAAAAGAGCACCTAGTTTTCTTCTATGAATTCAAGCATCAGACCTGAATGAACATGGCACTGAAAAATTTGATAATGTGTTTGCTAAGCTACTCTGAAAAACTGAGATGTCATAGAGCTGCAGATGAACAAATGCTATCTTTGTTTTTAAAAAAAGGGAAGATGGAGGTTTCAAACTACATTCCGTATACCTTGACTTTGCTTCCTGGCAAAATGCTATTACTAAAGTGGTGGTTTAGGAGGAGTGAGAAAGGGAATTGATAATCACTGAAAACTAGCACTGGTTCTCAAGAAAAAAAATCAAGCCCAACTTTTTTGATAGGGTTATTAGACTAGCAGATAAGGGGAATGCCATAGACACAATATACAAGATATACCAGTATATTAAGATATATATTATATATTAATATATATTATGTATACATTATAAATAAGAATATTAGGATATGTTAAAAAGTATATAGAGTTCATATAAATAATATAAGTAAATATATGATATGTAAATATGTATATAGATTACCATACATAAAAATACTAGTATATTCCTATTAAAGCTATCAGCTTTGATAGGTTAAAATTGCATCATGACTTTTGATACACCCATTTTTGGATTTTATCAAGGGATATAAAATATTTCTCAACTTCTTACCAATTAGATGAAAGATATATAGATTGACAAGATTATTCAGAACTGGTCTGATTTTGTTGCTCTCCTTTTCAAGAACCTTTAAAACTCTTCATAATATGTCTCTAGTCTGCTTTTTGAGGCTTATTTTCACATTATTCTCCTTTTGCACACTCCTGTTTCAGCCAAACTGGTCTACTTCCTGTTTTCATCTTCCACCTCCTACCTCCCACCTCCCACCTCCAAGGCCCTGTGAAAAACTTATCCCCCCAAACTAGAATCTATTCCTTTCTCATCATTGTCTTTTAAGTTTCAAGGGTCAGAGGCTCAGGGTACAACTTCTTATGTTGTCTTTTCTGATCTCCCTAGTTGTTGGAGTATTCTTCCTTCTCTGATAATCATTTATATATTGATCACTTATATATTGTTTCTCTGTAGTGGAATATAAGCCTGTTGAGTTGGGTGGATACAGCAATGCGCCTGGAGTTAGGAAGACCTGAGTTCAAATCTAGCCTCAGACATTTATTAGCTGGGTGACTTAACCCAGTTTGCCCAAGTTCCTCATCTTTAAAATACGCTGGAGAAGGAAATGATAAACCACTCCAGTATCTTTGCCAAGAAAACCCCAAATGGGATCATGAAGCATCGAACACAATAGAAACAACTGAACAACAAATAACAACAATATCTCCGGTGGCAAGCACAGTGTCTCATACATAATAAAGTGTTTAATCAATGCTTGCTAGATTGGATTGGAATCAGTCCCAGACAATGGTGATTAATATAGAGATAGACTAGAGAGAGGTCTCAGTGGAGTGCCCCTGGGCTCTGTCCTTAACCTTATTGTACACAAGATATTTACCAATGACTGAGATGAAGGCATAAATGGCATACCAATAAAATCTGTAGAGGAATAACTAATATCTTGGATAATGCAGTCTAGCTTAAAAATATCTCAATAGTCTGTACTGATGAACTGAATCTAGTAAGATGAAATATAATAATGATAAAGTCTTAACCTTTTTTTTTTTGGTAAAGAAACCAGTTGCATGAGGGTAGGAAGGGGGAGGAATGGTTAGGCAGAATTTCATGTAAGAAAGCTGGGGGTTCTAGTGGATTTCATCTTGAAGATAAGTTAATGTTGGGATGTGGTAGCCAAAAGAGCTGTTGTAATCTTAGGCTATATTAGAAGTGAGGGAAGTGGCAGTCCTGCTGTGTTTAGTCATGGCAACAACAACAGAAACACCACCACTACCACCACTACCACCACTACCACCACTACCACCACTACCACCACTAGCATTTGCATAGTCCTCTGAGGTTTGCAAAGTGCTTTACATGTGTTATCTCATTTGATCCTCACAAAAGCCCAGTGAGGTAGGTGCTATTATTATCTTCATTTTACAGGTGAGGAAACTGATGCCTGGGGGGGGGGTTATATGACTTATCATGCAGTGAGTAAGTGTTTGAGACAGGATTTGAACTCAAATCTGAATTCAAGTAGGGTCTTCCTAACCTCAAGGACAGCACCCTATTCACTGCACCGCATTGTAGCTTCTAGACCATGTCTGTTTGGAATACAGTGTTTCATTCTGGTTGTCACATTGTAGGAAGAATGTTGATGAACTGGAGGACATTTAAAAAGATTTTTTTAATAATTTATTTACTTTTAGTTTTCAACGTTCACTTCCATAAGATTTTGAGTTTTAAATTTTCTGCCCCTCCTTCTCCTCTCCCCTCCCCAAGAGGGTCTGATATGGGCTCTACTTTTTCACATTAGTCATGATGAATAGAAGAATTAGAACTAATGGGAGGAGCCACAAGAAAGTAGAAATAAAACAAAACAACAAAAGAAAAGAAGAGCAAATAGTATGCTTCCATCTGCATTCAGGCTCCATGGTTCTTTTTCTGGATGTGGATAGCATTTTCCATCTTGAGTCTTTTGGAGTTGTGTTAGATCCTTGCATTGCTGAGAAGAGCTAAGTCTATCAAAGTCAGTCATCTCACAATGTGGCTGTTACAGCATACAATATTCTCCTGATTCTGCTCATTTCACTCAACATCAGTCCATACAAGTCTTTCCAGGTTTTTCTGAAGTCAGCCTGTTCATCATTTCTTATAGCAAAATAGCATTCCATTACATTCATATACCGCAACTTGCTCAGCCATTCCCCAGTTGATGGGCATCCCCTCAATTTCCAATTCTTTGCCACCACAATAAGAGCTGCTATAAATATTTTTTGCAGATGTGGGTCCTTTTCCCATTTTTGAGATCTCTTTGGGATACAGCCCTAGAAGTGATATTGCTGGGTCGAAGGATATGCACAATTTTATATCCCTTTGGGCATAGTTCCAAAATGCTCTCCAGAATGGCTGGATCAGTTCACAACTTGGAGGACATGTTAGACCACAGAGATTGGGGTAGTGAGAGACATGGAATAGATGCTAAAGAGGAATCACATGGGGTCTAGGACTCACGTGGGAGCTTTCTGAAGATCAGTTGCAAGTGTCAAGTATGTTTAACCAGGAGAAAAGAAGATACAGGGACCTATGAAATTTGTCTTCAAGTATTTGAAAAAGGTATTAGACTTTTTTTTGCTTGTCCCAGGAGGGCAAAACCTAGCAATTTGTGGAAATTGTAGAGGTTGGATTAGGCTTCATATACAGAAAAGCTTCCCAATAATCAGGGTGGCTCCGAAATGGAATGAGGTACACCCAGGAGGTGATTCTTTCCCTCTCAGGTTTTCAAGCAAAGGCTGGATGGGCATACTTATTAGTTATAGTGTAGAGAGAGTCTTCAAGTTCAGATTAGACTCTGAGGTCCTTTCCAGGTCTGAGAATCTGTGATTCTAATTCCTTGTTTAAATTCTACTTAAAATGCTTTGTTATTTGTGAGGAATATAGGCTCTTTCAGCAAACAGCAGAGGAACTTCAGAACTGAAGCAATGTGGGAGTATAGGAGACCTTGTTACTCTGTGTAAATGTCAGGTTACTATGAGTCAGATGCTTTCTTGGGAAAAGCGGATGGGTAGGGGCTGTTTCTTTAAGAGTAAAGTGGGAGATTATTTCCCCTGATTACAGAGAACTCAGGCTCAGGATTCCTATCTCTGTGCAGTCTTCCCGGTCTTTTCCTGTGTTAACACAGGAAATGGAGGAAAGGTCTGAGAGAGAAGAACAGAAGACCTTGGGGAATTAACTGGGGCAGAAAGCCATCAGGCAATTCAGCTCTTTTAATAATAATAATAAAAAAGATATATTTTGTGTTACACAACTCTTAGACTGTCCATAGCGATAATGACTGGCGCTGTATTTTCACTTGTATGTGCAACTCAGCACCTTCTCTGAAATTTATAATCTTGAGAGTTTCATAGAATACTGAGAAATTAAGCAACAACCAGGATCACACAGGCAGCATTATGTCAGAGGCAGAATTTGAATACTAGTCTTCAGGGCTCCAAAACTGCCTCTTTATCCAGCCCACCATGGTGGTGCCCTAGAGACAGATTCTCTATAAACATTTGACTGTTCACATTTTTAATCTTTGCCCAACTTTGGCCATCTTTGGCCAACTACCAATGAGTCAATACATTCTTGGAGGAAATGAACCACGTTGTTACTGATATTTTAGCTAGAAATGAAACTAGAAGGCAAGAAGTAGTTGAAGTTACATAGAGACAAAGGAGTGGGTTCCATCCTGTACCAAAAGGCAACAACAAACATCATTTCATGGGATACCTGGTCATCTCCCTGCAGTGTTCACAGTGAGTGTAGGCAAACAGATCACCCTGAAATCAGCTTAATTTTTACATATCCTAATACCAATTGTAGAGGATGAATATGCAGACATGTTGCATGAAGAATTTGACAAATGCTGCTAAAGAAAATCGACATTGACACTGATATTTAGTGTCTTCAATATGAAGGTAGGTACAGGTGAGGCTAGCGAAAACTAGGCTAGAAAATATATTTTAGTACTAAAAATCAAAAGATGCTAAAACATTGTACATAGTTTAGAGGTCTGTACATTAGAAGTATTTTCTTCGAAAAGAGTTTGAAAGAGCTGCATGTGGTGAAGACTGAAACAACCTCACCAAAAGTGAAATTGGACTATATGTTCACAGCAGGGAATGACTTGGGAGTAATTTTAGAGTCAGCTTTCTGGGCAGTCAGATCATCAGCTTGTTGGAACAAAGGTAAAAAATCAATATCAAATTGAAAGAAAGGAAAAAAAATGAGAAGATACTTCAGTCAATCATAGCAACTCTAATTGGACTTGTTAAACTAGTTATTGATTCTGCAAAATGGGAAATTAATGAAAAAGACAATGGGTTTATCACATACTTAGAAAAAAAAATTTTTATGCTTAGAAAAATTAAACCAATGCAAAACAGTGGCCAAAATGAGGAGGTAGAATGAGCTCAGAAATCACCTCAGCTAGCAAATACTTGATCACTTTGTATGTGGAGAGACTGTCAGCCAAGGACAGCATGAGTTTAGAGTACTAGCTCGTTTTCAAACTATTGTGGGGGAGGACGGGGAAAGCTTGATGAGCCTTATTATCCTATGAAACTAGTGAAAAACAGTGGATGGTAAATGAGTCCGCAAAAAGAGCTTGGTTGGTGGCTCCAGGGAGAATCCTCCTTTACTATTGGGCTCCCAGCTCCCCACACGGGCATACTTGTTGTCCCTCATATGTGACATCTCATCTTCCATCTCTATGCTTTCACATTGGCTGTCCTGCATACCTAGAATGCTTTGCTTCATCACTTCTTAGTTTCTTAGTTTCTTTGGCTTTCAACAATCACCCCAAGTCCTGACTTCTGGAGGAAGCCTTTCCCTGTCCTGCTGCTAGTGCCTTCTTCTCCGAAATTACAATCCACCAACTTTGTACATATCTTATATGCACCTAGTTATTTACAGGTTGTCTCACTCATTAGAATGAGAACTTTTTGAGGGCAGGGACTGTCTTTGTCTTTGTATCTTCATCACTTAGCATAGTACCTGGCACATGGTAAACATTTGATAGATGCTTATTGACTGACATTTGTTTCAGTATAGCCCTAAATCAATGAAACTAGAAAGAGGGCAACAAATATATGTGAAATAAAATAACTCTGCTAGCAGTTACATAATAATCTACCCTCATTAGCAATCATAAGGGAACTATCAGATTTAGACTCTGTATTTTCCAATATCTGCTATGAGGAAGCTACAATTGCACAGGAAAAACAGCTGGACCCAACCAAAAAACTGCATGCTAGAGATGATGAAAAACAATTTTTTTTTATGCTCAGGTTGTTTATTAATGAGACAACCACATATACAAGTTAATCTATAGAAATGTCTGCCAATCAAACTTCATGTGATCTAAAAGGACCATGCATGATGTAAAAAATGGATACCTGTACAGTTTAATTCGATAAAAAGTTAATTTAAACATACATAGTCTAGAATCATACTACACATACACATATCCAGGGGCTACATACATATCCAATCAGACTTTTTGAAAACATTTGTTATAAAAGCAGATGAGGAAAAGACATTCAGAGTTCTTTGGATAATAGATTTAGGCTGGAAGGGACCTTAGAGATCATGTAGGCCAATGCCCTCATTTTATTCATTTGGAAATTGAGACTCAAATAGGTTAAGTGACTTGTTTAGGGTCCAGTGCCACAGGTACTAAGTAGTAGAGCTGGTATTGACTTTCAAGATCTCTCAAAGAGGGAGAAGATTCTATAAGATGGAAAAGATCACAAATGATACTCTGACCAAAAAAAGGTTAAGTAAGAAGATGTCATCACTATAGATCTTCACTCCTACTTTGTGATCTCTATAAAATCCTTATGAGAATGTTCTATGCATATGTTCAAGATATGCTTGACGAAAACATAAATTAGGCAGACTTCTGCAGTTTTCTATGGCGAGCCTCATTTTAAATTACAGAAATGAGTATCTATTTTAGACAATATAAGGTCCAACTGTGTCTATTTGTTAATTATGAAAAAAAAAACTTGACTCAGTAGAATGATATAGTCTCCAATTCATCCTTAAACAAGATGCCTTATTTTCCTATGCTAAAGTTATGTATGTTATATATATAAATATATATGTATATGTATAAACCAGCTCTAATATATATATATTCTCTTCTCTGCAATTTATGGACTCACACACATACACACACATGCACAGTCACACACACATATAATTAAATGACATTTGCTTCTGTGGAGATCAACTTTGTTTAGTGATCCTTTGATTATCAATATCAAACAAAGCACAAAAAAAAGAAAAGGAGGTATGCTGACTGAAGATGTAACACTTATGAGAGGAAGTCCTTGTCAAGTCCAAATAGAAGAGGACTTGTCTATGGGGATGTCTAAACACATGCTTGCTGACCACACTGTACTGAGTCAAGTAACTTGCCCCCTTTTGAAATCCACAGACTCTCAAAAGAGATCAGCCTAGCCATCCGTTGAGGAAACATAAAGTGGGTGCAGAACATGTTTTATCCAGGTTATCACATGAAGTTGGAGGAGGGGACTTTTTATTTCGTCTGTCAGTGAAAATACCTTGTATAAGCACTGCAGATGGGACCCAGAATTAACTAGGGGGAGAAGAGCAGGCTGGATCAAATTTGGTATGGTGTTTTTAATGATCCTGAGCTAACTCCTTGCCAGAAAAGGCTATCATCTTAATACCAATATTCTTTCTCCCAGTGCCACTATGTGCTTGTGAACTACAGAACCATAGCAGATCACAAGACTTGAAAAGACTCAGACACTTCCTTGATGTGTGACCCTGGGTAAGTCTCTTACCCTTTGTCTCAATTTCCTTAACTGTAAAATGGGGATAATAATGGTACTTATTGTTGTGATGATCAAATGAGACAACGTGTGTAAGGCACTTACCATAGTGCCTGGCACACAGTAATCTCTCCATAAATGCTAATTATTATGATTATGACTATTAATTGTAGATGACTCAAAGGACGATGAAAATGTGTATGGATCAGAGCATCTGGGTTTGAATTCTGACTCTGCCACTTATAGCCTGGCACCTAACCTTTCTGGGGCTCAGTTTCTTCATCTATAAAACTAGGGAATTGAACCAGCTGACCTTTTCTAAATCTAAGTAGAATACAAAATATTACCAATGATGACTTGTGTGGGATATTTGGAGCAGACCTGTGATTTTACTGCTTTAGGGATCTTCCAGGTGAGAAAACTCCCTCTACTGATTAGAGATCTGCATCTTCTCTGCAACTTATAGACTCACAGAGTTGTTTACATGACTTATCCATGGTCACACAGCCAGTATATGTAAGAGGTGGGACTTGAACCTGTGTCTTCCTGACTCTGATGCTGGCTCTATACACATTTCACTATGTTGGCTCTCTCCTTGTATGTGACAACTGGCATAAAATTAATCATCCAGGACAAGTGTAATCAGAAAAAGGAGGAGGGCTGGTCATTTAACAAGACTGAGGAATAACAGTGGACAACCAGAATATCTTCCAAATATTAAAAGAATCAGAGGAAGGCTAACAGAATAATTATTCCTCCCTATCATCTCATCCCATCCAGCCCCATCACTGTAAGCACCCAAATAACAAAGGGGAGAGGGTGTAAAGGGGGGCCAGCAGTATCAGGAAGGAACAAGAATGCTCACGGTATAATGGGAGAGAAGGAAATGTATAAAAGAAGGCTTAGTTATTACTCCTTGCCCGGTAAGCTTGGGTGGTTTGGTACCTATTTTGGGGGGTGGCCTTGCAAGATCTAAGCCTCATAACTAAGCTTTTTTTTTTTTTAAGGCTAGGACTGTGTTTTATTATAATTCTACTTATTACATCCCCCCTCCCCCATTTTCGTTAAGCTCTTGATGCAACAGAATTGCCCTAAATCTTTGGTGGTAATTGCCACAGAAGCCAGTAATTAGAGCCCTGCCTAGTTTTCCCTGGGAGCGGAGAATACTCTGGCTTTTCTGGGAGCAGTGCCATCTAGTGTCCATAATACAGTCCTACACTTTTTTTGGTTGTGCAGTAGAGGGCGGGGTTCTTCCTCGGCAGGCTGAAAGGTACTGCATGGTGACTTGGGGAAAGATAATCCATTGCTGGGAAGTTGCCAGCTCTTTGAGACAGATTTCTGGGTGATATTTGGCTCACTCATTTGGACGTGGATTGCTGTAGTTGCAATGCTAACTTTTAGGGAATGTGAGAGATCCTTGCTGGACTGCATGACAGACTCATTTTAAGAGCCATTTTTTGGGGTAAAGGGGATAGAGGAAGTCTTGTTGGAGATTTTTAAGAAGGGCTTAAATGAAAAGCTCTAAGTCTGCTTTTGGGGTGCCCTTTCCTGACAACCTGACAGATCTGATGGACATGGGCTTGGGCCTGGCCCTCTAAACAGAAGATGAATCAGAAGAGAGGAAACTCAGAGGATGGAGGGGAAGGCAGGCCTGAATCCATGCAGCCAAGCTCTCCCTGGCCCAGGTGAACTTCCCAGACTTGGAAGTCCAGGGCAAGCCATGGTGTAGATTCCCAGGCCATGTGGCCTAGCAGTGTTACTGCTTCTAAGTTCAGGATACAAAAAGAACAGTTTGTGGATTAATAGGGTAGATTGGACAAACAGCTCCAGCAGCACCCCAAATTCCCCAAAGTAGGGCTCTGATAGGCCTGCCCGGGTCCATTTCTGATATATGGCCAGGTCCTCCCTTCTGGGGTCACAGAGCTAGATAATACCCCTCCTCATAGGTTTGGAGGGCTGGGCCTGAGACCCTTCATGTGATTCTATTACCACATAGGGGCATGAAGTCAAGATCATCAGGAGGGGGCTGCAATTACCCAGGCTAAGGGCCTGGGTTTGGGAAACAGCAGATGCACAGATATATCAGAATAAGGGAGACTGTGATGGAAAAGGCCCTTAAATTCAGGCCTCCACCTTGGCTCAAGGTGAGGGGATGGGTATAGGCCTTAGCAAGAAGGGAGGCCTGAAAGAAATATTGGGCTTACTTTCATCTCTACTCTCTCATCTAAGTAAGACCTGAAAGGGACCTCAGGTCATTGTTTCTAGCTCTCTTCTTTTTACAAATGAAGAAACTAAAGCTGAGAAAGTTTAAGTGACTTGCTCAGATTACACACCTAGAGTGTATAATGAATCATTATTTGATGATGATGAATGAATCAGGATTTGAACTCAGGTCTTTCTGACTTCTGATCTGAGCTCTATCCACTGCACTACCTGCAGAAAGAAAGCACTCACAAGAAATCAGGGCCTTTCCTCAAGCAGACCCATCAGGCCAATGGGAACCTCACGGTCTGTTTCCTCTCTGGGGCAGGCAAAAAGGTAAGGTTGGAATCTTTTCTTCCCAGAGGAGGGGGAGGACAGGCTCTTGAGAGAGAAGCTTGACAGGTGGCTGCTGTGTCATGGAAGATTCCCTTCTCATCTCTTACCAAATGGGGGCAGATGCAAAGGGAAGGAAGTGCCTGCAATTCATGTGGGGGACTAGGGGTGGTATTGTGGAGGATGAGGAAGCAGTAGGGCCTCTGAGTCAGGAAGACCTAGGTTTCAATCTGGCTCCTGCCAGGTAATGACTGTGTTGCCCTGGGCAATTCACTCAGCCTGTCTCAGTACCTCTCCACCCCCAAACTCCCAAGCAGCTCTCTGAGACTATAAATTGCAGAGTTTAATGGAGGAAGTTCCTTACCAGAAACTCCCTGCACTGATGAAATCTTAGATCTTTTTTTTAAAGAAAAAAAAAAGGAAGTAGCCTCGGGGTTGGTAGATGTTTATTGGTGGTTTGAGAGGCTGGCTTGGGAGCCACATGGGAGTGTGGCATCTTGGAAGGGAATCAGTGATTGCTGTGTGGGAGCAGAGATTTTGTAAGTCTGTTGGAGAGTGATTGCAGCATTGGGAAAGGCTAGAGATTTAGTGGAGTGTGAATTTGGAGCTTGGGAACCACAGCAGGACCTGGGGACTTGGTATGAGTATAGTTATAGGAGAGGTAGAGGAAGGGAAGAAGCATTTATTAAGCACCTACTATGTGCCAGGCACTTTGCTAAGTGCTTTATAGATATCTAATTTGATCCTCACAGAAACGCTATGAGGTAGGTGCTACTATTATCATATTAGATTGCGAGCTCCCTTCCCAGGGTCACACAGCTGTGGGTGTCTGAGGCCCTATTTAATCTTAGGTCTTCCCGATTCTAGGCCCAGTGCTCTATCTGCTACACCACTAGTTATAATGAGTGTAGAACAGGGATGGTATGTGGGGATAGGGCTATCACCTGGTCACTAGAGCTCTTCCTGCTCCTCCCTACTGTGTCTCCTTCCTGTGAAGTCAATATGGAGTGAGCAATGATGAAAAGCTCTGAGATTAGATTCTGTCCAGTACTGTGCATTTGAATCGTGCATGGGCTTCTGGGATCTTCTTGGTATCTGTTGAAAAAAGGGTGTTCTGGGGTGAGGGCATAGACACAGGGGGAGGGGGTGTCGAGGTCACTGGCCAGATATAGACACACTTGCTTCCAAACAAGGTGTTGGAATCTCAGATAACCCTGTCACTGTGGAAGGGAACTAGCAGTTTAGGGTGGATTGTTTTGTATCCATGGCAGCAGCATTGGCTACTAAAAAGCCAAAAGAGATTTTTGCATAGTCAGTCAATTAGGTTTATTAATAATTATGTGATGGGAATTATGCTAAGTGCTGGGCCTGCAAAGAAAGGCAAAAGATACCTCTTGAGAAGGGCATAGTTTAAGGGAGAGACAACATGCACAGAGCTATGTATAAACAGTATTACATATACAAACATATCATATCTATGGTCTATTTGTTACACACACACACACACATATGCACGTATTCATTGTTGTTGTTCAGTTGTTTCAGACATGTCTGACTCTTTGTGACCCCATTTGGGATTTTCTTGGCAAAGATACTGGACTGGTTTATCATTTCCTTCTCCAGCTCATTTTACAGATGAGGAAACTGAGACAAACAGAGTTAAGTGACTTGCCCACAGTCACACAGCTAGTAAATATCTGAGGCCACATTTGAACTTAGGTCTTCCTGACTTCAGAGCCTGTGCTCTATTCACTGTGCCAACTAGCTGCCCCAACATATATTCATATATATGGTAAATCAGAGATAATCTCATAGGGAAGGCACTAAGATTAAGGAGGACTGGAAACGCCTCTGTAGAAGGTAGGACTTTGGCTGAGATTTAAGAAAGCCAGGGGACAGAGATGAAGAGGGAGAGTTCCATACATGGAGGACAGCCAGAGAAAAGCCTTGGAGTCAGGAGACTGAGTGTCATGTGCAAGGAATAGCAAAAAGGCCATTCACTAGATTATTTGGAGTATTTGGAGGGGAGAAAGGCATTAAAAAAAACTAGCATAGGCCATCTCATATGAGAGGGGCCAGCAGGAAGTGAAGTCCCAAAGTTGTTGTTTTCCGGAGGATGTGCAATAGGAAAGCTGGAGTTATAGGAAGGAGGATGTTCTGGGGAGCCCAGAGGCATGGAGAAGAGGACCCCCACGTTAGGAAGGATGGAGTAGCAATAAGGACTGACCTTCCGAAGCACTTTTAAGCTTGCAAAGTACCTCACAACAGCTCTGTGAGGTAGGTGCCATAAATATTGTTATTCCCATTTTACAGATTAGGAAAATGAGGCTTGGGAGGTTAGATGGCTTGTCCAGCATCACACAGCTAGTAAGTGTTAGAGACAAATTGAAAACCCAGACCTTCCTGAATCAAAATCCATCGCTCTGTGACTCTTTGCTGCCTCTCGTTAGAGGGGGCGGAGAATAGAAAAGAATGCAGGATTGCTAGAAGGACAGAGTTTAGATGAGGCTCAAAGGAACAGGAATGTCCCAAGTGTCCCTGAAGTTGAGGGGCAGAGAGAGTCCCTGAGGCCTGTGGGCCTGTGACTGTGGGAATAGGTAGATGATTTGAGAAGGAATCTGGAGGTCTCGGGGGGAGTGGTGGCTATCCCTGTGGACTCTGGGTAAGGGAGAAGAAACTTCGTGCTGAGTCTGGGCTGACATATCCTGACTTGCCTTGTGCTTGGGCAGTGTGTGTGGGGGCAGCCTCACGAGGAGACCAAGACTCTTCCCTAACCCCTCTCCCGCAGAATCTATGGGGCATAAACTCCTTTCCTGCTGACCCCCAGACCAGTCTCTCTGTCCCTTACCTGCCGTTTTGTCTTTCTGTCTGTTCAGTGGGAAGCCCCTTCCCTCCTTGGTCAGTGGCTCAGGCTGTTGATACTGTTGACTTGGTTGCCTGGCAACCCCAGCCTTGGCAACCACCCCCCTCCCTTCCTCTTTCCCCTTCCTTCTAAGTCCCTCTCTCTTCCAGCCTGCCACTGGCTTCAGTTTGAGGAGGAAGTGGTGGTGGTGGGGATGGTGAGAGCAACATGAAAGGGGCATTTGTTTGGGGGGGAGGATCTGAAAATCACCTTCCTTCCAATACCTGGACTGATTGCAAGAGGTCATTGGATCATAGATTTAGTTAGAAACAAGCCTAGGAGGAAACGTCAGAGAAATCAAATGAATTGTAGTAGCTTATACTGGCAATGAGTGGCAGAGATGGAATTTAAACCTTGGTCGCTTGACTCTAAACCCAACAGTCTTTTCACTGTGCTAGAGTGGGCTGGGATCCTTGGGCCTCAGATGTCTCTAATATGCAGGTCCTCAGACATTCAGACAGGCATCCTGCACCTCCCAAACTTTGTCCCCAGTAGTCTATGGCTAGTTGAGAGGGGCCTGGGTGGTCAGCACCAAGATGTACAGGCAGGGGCAGGCAGGGCTATCTGGACAGTGTCTCCAGGGGTCTTCCCTCATCCCCAGCCAATCAAAACAACCCAATCCAACAAATATTTATTAAATGGCTCTTATGTTCAAGGGACTATTAGGCGCTGGAGATATAAAGATAAAATGACATATAGCCTTGCCCTCAAGGAGCTTACATTCTGTGCGGGGAACCAACAGGTAAATATACACGTGATATTTTGAGAAGGAAGGAAACAAATAACTCAGGAGAACAAGAAAGGGTTCCCAGAGAATGGATTATGCACTGGACCTTGATGATAATAATAGCATTTTTATATCATGTTAAGTTTTACACAGCAAACATATATTAGATGGCACGGTGGATAGAGTGCTGGGGCTGGAGTCAGGAAGAATTGAATTAAAATATGGCCTCAGACACTTCCACGTTGTGAAGCCCCAGGCAAGTCATTTCACCTCTCTCTGCCTCAGTTTCCTCAACTGTAAAATGAAAATAACAGGCATTGTTGTGAGGATCAAATGAGATAATATTTGTGAAGTGCTTAGCACAGTGCCTGGCACATGGTAGATACTTGATAAATGCTTGTTTCCTTCCCTCCCCTTATTTGCTCCTCACAATAATCCTTTGAGGTAAAAGCTGTCAATATCCCCATTTTACAGATGAAGAAACTGAGGATCCAAGAGGTCAATTGATTTGTCCAGGGTCACCCAACCAATGTCTGTTGCAAGATTTGAACTCAGGTTTTCTTGTCTCCAAGTCCAGCATTTAATTTACTGTACCACTTAGCAACCTTGATAGAAGCTAGGAATTGGAAGACATTGCAGGCTTTGGAGGCAGCCTGTGTGAACTGCATGCAATACCAAATTTGGGGAAATTAGGCCAGTATGGCTGGAAAGTAGAATTCATGAATACGACATGAAATAGTTTGGCTCCAGACAGTGGAGGACTTTAAATGACAGTCTCAGGAGATTGTATTTTATCCTAGAGGAAACAGGGACCCCTGAAAGATGGAACAGGGGAGTAACATGGCCAGACCCATGTCTTAGGAAGATTTTTCTGGGCAGCTCCGTGTGGGGAATTTGGGAGAAAGATGGGATTGAAAACAGAGAGACCAGCTAGGAGGCTATTGCAATAGTCTAGGGAAGGGATGATGCAGGTCTGAACTAGTAGAATGATCATGTGGGTGAAGAAAAGGGACATATACAAGAATAATGTGGAGGTAGGCTAGAGAAAACATCACAACTAATTGGCTATGGGAATGAAGGAGAGGGGAGAGTCAAGGATGACTTCATAGTTGTAAATGTGGGTGATGGAAGACTAGTGGTTGCCCTCCATACAAATACGGAAGTTTAAGGAGGGCTGGGTTTAGGGAGGAAGTTCTATTTTGGACATTGTGAGTTGGGACACACACACACATACATATACGCATGTATGTATACATACACACACACATACATACATGCACATCCATACTTCTTCCCTTACTTCCTAGTCCCAGCCCTACCCTTCCCACTGCCTCGAACTGACAAGCTCATTTCCCCTCCTTGACTCTTCCAGCACTTCTCAGTGTCTTCACAGGCTCTTCTTCCTTTCCTCTTGTCTCATAGGGTGAGCCATCCTTATCCTCTGCCAAGGTTGGATCACATCACTCTCACTTCCCTCATGGACACGGATCCTGTCAGCCCTCGTTCTGTCTCATGCATGACGAGTCACAGCACAAGACAAACTCAGAGAGAGTGTGAAAGGACCAGCATTTTCCTGATACAGTTTCCCGGATGGCCTCAGATTGCCTGATGTAGCTTCCTGGTCTGGGGCCATTAAGAGTCCTACCCACATGTAGTCAGGGTGTCTCAGACTTGGTAGGTAGCTGACACCACAGGAGTTTACATACTCTACCCTTTCTGTCGAGTTGTTGACCAGTTGCATTTCCAGATGGAGACGAGGGGCACCACATCCAGAGAAACTAAATGTCATGGTGTGTTAGGCCAAAGTAAACCATCCGCTTTGTACGGTGTTCAGTGACTTGGGAGTACCTCTTTTTGTTCCAACATCAGACCTGAACTAAGAGGGACTGGCATTAGAGGCATGCCTTTGGCATATGGTTGTTGTTATTGTTTAGTCATTTCAATTTGTGACCCCATGTGGGGTTTTCTTGACAGAGATACTGGAGTGGTTTGCCATTTCCTTCTCCAGATCATTTTAAAGATGAGGAAACTGAGGTAAACAGGGTTAAGTGACTTGTCCAGGGTCACACAGATAGTAAGTATCTGAGGCTGGATTTAAATTCATGAAGATGACTCTTCCTGGTTCCAACCTAGTGCCACCTAGATGCCCTCATGGGGTTAGGATAGGCTGTGGTTCAAATCTTGCTTCTGACGCTTACTAGCTGTGTGACCAATGACAAGCCCTTTTAGGACTTCAGTTGTATTATTTGTAGAATGGGGAAAATTGTATCTATAGCACTTACCTCACAATGTTATTGGGAGGATCAAGTGAGGTAATGTTTGTTAAACATTTTATAGAACTTATAGTACTATATAAATATTAGCTGTTACTGTGTTTTGAGAAGTTTCTTCTAGGACTGTCCTTTCGTTTTGCACCTGCAGTCCTCCTGCTCTTCTTCTGACCTTGGCAAGTCTTCCACCTTGTTGCCAATTTACTCACTGGGGCGCTCAGACGGCTCCATCCCAGTCACTGACAAAGGGGAGTCTCTTCAATACCTGATGAAATGCCAGTAGGATCAGCCACAATGTATCTTTCTCCAGGCTGGCATAGCATGAAGTGCTAATTATGGTCTTTTCTACCTCTGCAGCCCAAAGCATTCTGTTACACCTATGATACAGTCATTAGTGCAACTGAAGAGTATATTATTAATTATTATTATTTGATTGCCATTTCATAAGTTAATTCAATAAACCCCTCAAGTTTCTTTCATAAGAACTACTAGCAAACCACAACTTCCCATCTCATATTTGTGCAGTTTTTTTAATTGCTGTGAAGACTTTATATTTATTACTAATCAATTTCAGTCTATTGTTCTAGACAGTCAAGGTATTTTTGTATTCTGTCATCCCATATGCCATCTGTAGTGCTCAGCTTTCTGTAATCTGCTAATTTGAAAAGCATGCCATCTCTTCTATCATCTAAGTTACTGATGATGATGTTTAATAGACTAGACAAATCCCTTATGAACTCTACCATATAGGTTGACGTTGAACTATTAATCATACTCTTTGAGACCAATTTTTCAGCCTGATCTGAATCTACTCAACAATACGACTAAAATTAGGGAAATTCTAATTGTCTATTATGCACTGGGGCTGTGGATTTCAAATTAGCACCAGACAAATCTGCTAGTGCTTTGCTAGCATCTGTAGTTGGGTTCAGTGACTCAAAACTTTGTTCACACACTAAAAAGAGCAGTCAGCCTGCCCACATCAAGGAGAAGATTCCTACTTACTTCTCAGTGGATGGTATCAGAGAACAATCTGTCAGCTATGAGAATGAGGAGAAACATCTAGAAGAGGCGATATGATACCCAGAAGAGAGTGAAATGTGACATGCAACTGAAATGCTCAGCAGAGAGCAGCGCAATGTCATCACCAGAAGCACCATTAGCAGCTCTGTACTTTAGGATGTGTGAGTTGCCCTAGACATGTGCCTGCCCAGGCCGTATTTGTTCTCTTTGTATGTAACCTACATGTTTGTGCCCTGGCCACATACATTTCTTTTGTATACTCCTTCATGTAAGCCTTGGTGACATGTGTTTCCTAGAAGTTTGTCTTCTATATATAATTACTCTCTGGTTGGGTGAATTCTTTCTCTATATATCCTTCTCTATTGTTGGCATTGTAACCTGTTGGAAAATGAACTCCTTATGTGTATGGAATGTTCTTTTTTCAACACTTTATTTGCTATGCAGTTTGATTGAATATCTCTTGCTTTGAATTGGTGTGTCCCCTGGCTGGTTGGTAAGAACAAACAAATTGGTGGGAACTCATGAGTTATGTTTTGAGTGGGTGCTGACCCCATGGAGTGTCTCAAACCTAAGGTAGTTTTTCTTGGGGACATGTACCTTGGTACTACAGGAAGGTTCTATTTGTACCAAAAATATCCATGGCTGCTTTCTTGGTAATGGCAAATAATGAAATAAAATAAAATCTGGATACAATCAGCATTTTCAACAGTTGTGGAATGGCTGAATTAATTGGCATATATTAATGCAGTGGAATGCTATAATACTGTAAAAATGACAACTATAAAAATGGCAGGTGGCAATGATGTAGCAGGATGCTAAACTTGCAGTCAGGTAGACCTGGGTTCTAATCTTGCTTCTGTGCTTACTACCTGTGTGATCATGGGGTAGGGGCTAGTTAGTTACTTAAAAAATTTCACTAAGGCTTTTCTTCTTTGATGGAGAGAGTTCCCGTACACAAAGAATCACTGGTTCTTAAAGTGTTCATTTGATGCATGAAAGAGACAAAGAATATGGAAAGACATGAGGTGAT